CACGGGTCGACCTCCGCACGTATGGGCGTTCGGGGTCCCGTTCGAACCCAAAGGCGTTCAGGTCACGCCAAAAACTATTCTGATGCCTAAAAATAAGTTTTGGTTTAAGTTTTTTTTGTGAGTTGTTGCCTGTTGTCCAGTGAGTCCCGTCACTCCACCAGTCGCATTTTTGTCATCTTGTCAATGAAGTCCATTGCGGGCCGCGTAGCTGCAGGTCAAATGGTCGGGGAGGGTGAGAGCGGGCGGTGGGGCAGGTGAGAGGGGGGGGAGTGGGGGCGGTGGATGGCTGGATGGGTGCATCGGGTATGATCGAGCTGACGGGGGGGGCAGGGGGTGACTGGGCAGGCGGCACCAGACTTGGGAGAAGGACGAAGTTGGGCTGGAGGTACAGGACTTGGAAGTCACTAAAGGGCTTCCTTTGCCAAGCTGATTCAGTTATCCTCCATGGTTTCCATGTAATATGAAGAGCGGTGTCAAGTTCTAATAACAGTTTGTTAGGGTCCTGCCAAGTCTGCATGTTGGAGTCTCGAATGACTTCCTTGGTGGGGGGGTCTTTTTCCTCAAGGAAATCACGTTTCATGGACTTCCATGCTTCCCGGGTTTTGGTCTTGATTAGCTCTTCTATTGCTTGTTGCGCCTGCAACAGACCAAGTTGGTGGTCCTTTCTTTCAAATGAGCATCTAGCTCTCCACGCCAGCATGAGGAGATGCAGCCTCGTGTATGAGAACAGGTTGGTCGCGAACAGGGACCAATTAGCCAACAGGTGGCGGTTCTCTCCAAGGAGCAGGAGGCCGAGATCCCAGGGTATGTGATACCCAGCGAGGGAGTGAAAGGCCGCATCCCACCATTGCCATAGCTGGGTGACCATTGGGCACGCCAGAAGACAATGTTTGAGGGTTGCCCTAGCCAGCGGGCGAGTGCTCTCACGGTATGCGCAGATGGGGGATAGTTTCCCTTGTTGTTCCAGGTTAGTCCTAGAGACGATCCAATCGGGGGTGGGAAGGCAGCGGTGGAGGATCTGCCATTGCAGAGACCTAAGGTTTGTGGGCATGATCCTCGCATATCTGGACCAGTCGAAAGACTGTGACAATTTAGGGTCCAATGGCGAGTCTCGAGCCCATCTGTTCGCTAACATTTGGCTGATCGGTTGGGTTTGTCGTGACATTCGGTATCCTCCTTTTACTGTGTAATTCTAGATGTGCATAGATTTGGAGCCTGGCCATTCCCACTCTGTCATATCTAAGGGAAGCTTGGCTATGGGTGTGTTGGACTCGTATGCATAGAAACCATCCTTTTGGTCCCCCACCACTCTCACTCGCACCAATCCTCCTCATTCACATGTGGTGTCTAAGTTGTCATTTCTTAACACTTTTGTGAGTGTAGCCCCGGGAAATTGAGGTTCGTAAGCTTCCAGTTCATAGGTCCTGTGACAATTCTCTTTGACTTTGAATATGACTAGGTGAACAGGAGAGTCTGAGTATCTGACCACCCAGTCCACTTCAAACCTTGAACCCTTAGGTCTCTCTGACCATAGCCATTGTCTGCAGTCCGACGTATGTCCCTCTTTTGGGTTCAGGTTCGTTGCAGCATGCCTTTGCATCTCCCGGCCAGCAGTCTTCCGCAATTGTCCCCACGCCTCCCTCAGTCTGAGGTGTCATCCCCACTGTCCCCGTTATCCTCAGCAGGCGGTTGGATAAGAGAGGGGGGAGAGGGCAAGGGGGAGAAGGGGGAAAGGCGGGCAGGGGAGGAAAGATGAGGAGGGGGGGCCAACTTACCTGTGACTGATCTCATGGTACTTTAAAAGGTTGAGTGGAATCGAATGAATCTCCTGCCAGAACGAGGGATAATACATTTTCCACATGTAGTAGCCGAGCCACCGCTACGGATGCGGTCGTTGAAGAAGGGTCGCCAGACTGTTTCGTTGGACTCTCACTAACTCATGAGGAGTTTGCAACCTCGACAACCTGTGGAGTGAGCAAACTCGAATGAATCTATCCCTAGATATGGGGGTGTACAGACGTCTGTTCTCTAGGGCGTTGGTACATCATTACAGGTAAGTTTTTATTTTTTAGTTCCTTTTCTTTTTTTATTTCTCTTCTTTCTCCCTTCCTATTCGTAACTGTTGAATCACGACCTTCAAGGAAAACTGGGAAGGGCTGAAACAAAGTCGGTTTCAAAAAAGAAAAAAAAAAAATGAAACGAACGAGGATGTTGCCTCGAGGTTGGAAAACAACCTTTTGGGCTTTGTGGGAGCAAAATGGCTCCCCACTCTATTCAGGGTCAATATTTGAGGTCGCGAGAACACAGCGCACGTGCGCCATCTCGCCGTATCTTTATGTTTTGGCAAGCAGTATGCCTTTCCCTGAGTGCCGCCTCTATTCCACTCGCTGACCTTCTCAAGTCCTGCTTCCTTGTACGCCGCACAGCAAACCATAACAATCTCGTCTTCACTAATTTTACTCTGGATAAATGACGGATTACCAAAGAACAAATTTTTCATTCCTTTCCTGTAGACCACCGGACAGCACACGAAGGTATCCCCCATGTTGTGATCCAAAGGGCAACAAACCAAATCACCTAACAACTGCTGAAACGGAAACAAATCAGATGCATTAACACCCTTACCCACCTCATTGGTATCAGCAGAAAAACACGCCCTAAGCTCAATATTCATTTCCATTCCATTTGACGGAGCGGACACAAGAATGGACTGCGAAAAACAACCAGCTAAAGCTCCCTGAATACATTTGTCTAACGTCTTCAGTCTGTCCCCCTGACCAGGTCGCAAGATATTTTTGGACATTTTGATCCACCTGGGAAACTCCTTCACATGGTTCAGTCTACACGCCACATGTCCATCAATACGTTTAAACCTGGGGTCCGCCTCTTTGCACACACACTCAAAGGTGTCACCCTTGGAGGTTTGCCGAAAGTTATGTAACTTGTCACGGACAGTTTTATTTCTACACCATACTACACGTATTCTTCGTAACAGCATTTCCTTTCAAGCCTGCGAAATATCCAACCTTATTACTAACTAGAAGAACCAGGCGCGTGTTTTTTTTTTCTTGTGAGGACACTTGTCCTCACGTAGTGCTACCATGCCAGAGGTAACTGTCAGGGTCCCGTTTTTAGAGGGAGCCTGAAATATGAGGGGTCATGAACTTAGTATTTTCCTCGATGTATCTGCCCTGGAAAAAGAGTCCACATACATCAAACAGAAAGGGGTATCTCTTCGACCCCTTATCAAAAAAACAAAAGAAAAGCACTTTTGGAAATGGCAAAAGCTCAGCTACCTCGTGAAATTCCGAGATAGTTGGGAAAAAGAAAAGAAAAAGAAAATGAGGGCAGTTAAAGAAAATGCCCTCACTAAGGCTGTGGGTATGGAACGGCTACAGTTAGCCCTGGATCTTGGCCAAATCAAAGGCTCACTGTGAGGCCGCGATTTTGCTTGGGGGCTGGAGTGACGTCTAACCCTTCTCAGCCACTATAAAACAGACAGTTGTCCCCAACTGCCACACAAAGCACTCGTGCTGCCAGTGTGTGACGAACACACTTGAGTATTGTTAGTTGTTGGAGGTGTTGCCTGAGGCAATGTGGGAGGAGGCTGGAGGTCTGCAGAGGAGCGCGAAGAGAGGAGTTGGGCGGGCCATAGCCAAGGCAGGGAGCACTTTGCTTCCCTCCCCTTGGCTGGTGCTGGTCCCACGGGACTGAGCCAGAGACGCTGTGGGACTCCGGCGGTGCGGCACGGTGAAATTTGGGTCTGGGGCCCAAATTTTACTAATTTTGGCCAACCAATTTTTCCATTTTAGTGGGAAAATGCTGCCAAAATTTTATGGCAGCGAGTAAGTGGCGGCAAGGTTGTTGACGGCGGTACCGGCGGACCAGATGTACGGCAAGTTGTTTTTCCATTTGCGTTAAGAGGTGCTGCCGAATTTTTACGACAGTAAGCGGCGGCGGTTAAGCTGCCAGTGTTAGCGGCCTCACCAGGCTGAATAAACTTGCGACAAGTTATTTTCCCATATTTGTGGGAAAGCGCTGCCAATTTTTTTTAGCGCCAACGACAATAATTTTGACAGCGTTATGCCTTTTGGTTGGGATAGGTGGCTGGGATAGTCGGCTCGGCATTTTCGTAGATATACGCCTTTTGGTTGGACACTATCTGGTTCTTAGGACTACCCGGTACGTATGTGGTCGGACTGTTACACTGGTGGTTTGTTCCTATGTGACGTGTGCCTCAGTGTTTTCTACGGCAAGTGGCGAAGATGTTGGGACTCGGCGCTTTCGAGGGTACGAATGAAGTCACATTACTGACTAAAATAGTACCGGCACTTTTATTTTTTATTTTTCGATTTCGGTTGATCCTTTGGATGGTTTCGGACAGGAAGCTGGTAACTATTAGGAGTACTAGGAATGAACATGGTCGAACTGCGGTAACGGAAGTTGGGCGACGGCTATGATAGCCGGTTCAACGGTGCTCTTAGCTTTTTTAGTTGTAGGAACAGTACTTAAGCTTTGCGCATCTCGATTGTTTCCAAAGACCCCTGATGAGTCTGACGCGGCAATCAGACGAAACCAGTCGGGTCGTCTCCGAGGTGGATTTTGGTTAACCATAGCTGCTTTGTTTCATCATATCTTTTTAATGCAGCCGGTCACGTTCGGGTTCGTTGCAAAGCTGGTCATTCTTGTCCTGTCGTGTCTCTCGGTCGTCGTGTCTCTTGGTCGTCGTGTCTCCTTGTCGTCTGTTCTGGTCTTGCCTATTGTGATCATAGTCATGGTGCTGTGTATTTCGAGCGTGAACTTCCTGCCTTGACCATCCTGTGTCATCAGAGTATATCATACTTTATCTCACGAGGTAACCGTCGTAGAGATTGAACTACTGTCCGCTGGCTTCGAGCTCCTTTGTCAAGACGACCAGTAATCAGGGAAACTCACAACCAAGAAATGCAGGCTGCTATAACTGCGGTCAATTAGGTCACATAGCTAGGTTTTGTCAACTTCCTGACAAGCGATTAGACAATTCTAATGCGTCCAATAGTATGGTCATAGTTCCGCACAATCCGAGCTATGAGAACAACACAGTACCACAGCAGCAACCGACGTATCCTTACTACAATGGTGGCTACGCTGGAGGTGGAGGTCTTCGGCAGCGGGTGTCTAATCTGGAGGAACTCATCGCCAAGATCAAGGGAAAGCATGAAGGTGACGAGGCAAGGGAGAAGGAGGCTCGTGATGAGGAGGAGAGGAAGAAGACGGAAAAGGAGGAAAAGGAGAGACTGGTGAAAGACAAACGTGAACGTGAGGAGATGCATTCGGTGTTTGCTAAGGAAATGAACGCGAGGCTAGATGGGATTAGTAGTGCTATTGGTGGAAAGAAGGAAAAAGAAGACAACGAGGTGAGCAAGCTGAGAGATGAAATCGAGAGACTCAAGAAGAATCAGCGGGGTAGTAGTGCATCAACATCAACTAGCGACAAAGAGGCGGTTAAGGCACTGCATAAAGAAATTTCCGATATGAGTGCGGCATCGGAAGCGCGGTTTGGGTCGCTGGAAGACGAGATTGAGAAAAAAAGAAGATTGAGAATGGAGGCGATGGCGGACGCCGAAGCATGGAAGAGTGAGGCTTTACGACCTGGCAATAAGAGAGGGAGTTTGGCGATCGGAGCGTCTCCAACGACGCAAGCAAGGGTGCGACCACGTGTGGTATCGACCTCGACTCCGGAAGGAACAAGGAAGGTGGGTGATGAGCATTATCGTAGTGTCGTTAAGCGTCACGGAATGGAAGTTGATTTGTTGCGAGAGATGAGTCTGAAGGAAGTCAAAGCAAGGCGGGAAGCTGAAGAAGAATTGGCGAAGGTGAGGGAGAGGCAGCTGGATGACAAGCACGAGATGGAAATATTGCGCGAACGTATGAGGAAGTTGGAAGTTGAGAAAGGGAAATGAGGGCCGGTGACGAATCTGAAGCCACAGTTGGATAAGGCGGCGGGTGTCTCAGCGCGAAAGACTGATAAGGCTAATAAGTTGGTTAGTCCGACTATGAAAGTGGGGGAGAGGGAGAAGTTCCTGAAGAAAGTCAGGAAGGACTTGAAGAATCTTCGGAAAGAAGATGTGCAGGGCATCTATGAAAAGGAGGGGATCATGTATGACAAGTTGGATGTTACGAAGGAAGAGAGCTCAGTTACGAACAACGTGGGAATTCAAGGACGGCGAGGGTAAAGGTAAGCAGGCGGTAGTCCACGATGTCTCGGAGGACGGAGTAAGCGAGGCAGGTGCGGATGGTGATTCGGCTACTTCGTGAGTTCGATCCCGAGCGTGACCGATCTTTGGAGGTTAATCAACTGTTGTTGTAAGATCCAATTTATCTTATTGTATTTATTTTATTGATTTTTTTTATTATAATTATAATCAAAATTGCATTCAATGAAATAAATAAATTGAACCGTAATTCATCATTTCTATTATAAGCATAAAAATAATGAAAAATCTATCATTTTACTTATTGTAAATATCATAATTCTTTTTTCTATTTATGATTATTCTTGTATATTTTTTTCTGATTCATTCTTGTATTCATTTTTTATGTAGATCTTTATACTGATTATAGATTATTGATAGTATAGATAGATATACCTGTTTAGTATGAAAATTTTTTCAATTAGGACTCTTTCTATTTCGAATAGAAATAGAAAGAGTTCATAAATAGAAATAGTCGTTTCACGTCTACTGCTAGACTGAGGTGCAAGGTGCTTAACGCCTTTGCTAGTGTTTTATGTTGCATACTAATTGTGGAAGGGCAGATCGAATGGGGTAATAAACTGTCGAGCTACGTTATACAGGCGCAGAATGCTGGGTTTGATTTTGACAAGGGGAATGGGCATGTTGTGTATGCACTATTTTCACCTTGGTGTAAGCATCTATATATTGGTAGTACTGGCCGTGATATCTTTACTCAATGGGGTGAGCATGCTTACAGGAGTACGCAAATAACAGTGAGCAAGGAAAGGAGAAGGAATAAGAGATTGTACAGATGGGTTAGACGATGGGGTATCCACAAATACTTTATTATCCCTTGGCTCTGTGCTCCGAGGATGACATATTGATGACTGAAAATTTTTTCATTCGGGAGTTATGTCCTTCGCTAAATATACGGGGGAGAAGTCGACGGGGGAAGAGAAGTCGTCCTGGACGAAGGGAAAGGAGGAAGGCTAGGCGTAGAGAGGGTCAATAGGGCCATGGAACAAATGACGTTGGTGGGCTGTTATCTTCTTATACCACATTTGATTTAAGAACGAGCATTTCGTTGCGGATTTTGGAGTATTGTAGGTTGCACTCATTGCACAGTTGTTTGGTTTCCTGTAAGGGTGGTTCGCACTTACTTGACCGATGGAAGATCCTTAAACGCTTGTTTGGGGGAAGCATTGTCCGGTGTAAGTACAGCACCGGTGAGTTACGATATGCTAGGGAGTGATTGAAGGACGACGTTGTTCTAACTTTTTGTCTGTGATCCCGTTTTTAAGTAAGTCATTGGCGTTCAAGGCTCTGCTGATTGATTTATTGATATGTCCGAATAAACGGAAGGAGTTGACTGCATGGAGGTTGGAAAATTTGATTTACGCATATACAGTTGTTAGGACTTTTGGCGAGAAGCGGACCAAATGCAGATTACGGTATGTTTTGTCCAACGTGATACTTCGTCAATTTGGTCTACGAGTGAGGCAGCGCCTTATTATGAAGTTGCAATATGACGAGACACTGAGAAAAAGCAAGTCTGTATGTTATGTGCTTTGTCCGTCTTATCCGGAGGGGTCAATGCGTGGTGCGAAGATGATCTCCCGAGCTATTAACACCTTGTTGTGGAGCCTGCCGAAGCACTCTAATTTTAATATGAGGAGTGTCGATGGTTTATTGAAACAGATCACTGAAATCAATGGGAGGAAGAAGAAAGGGAGGTTACTGTTAGGTGCGTCATTCGATATTAAGGAGAGGTTTTCTAATTTGCCTCATCAGTCCATCTTTGAAGCTGTTGAATGGGTTGTTGGGTATTGGAAAGAAGAGGGCGTGACAGGTGTGTTGATAAGAAAGCAGGGTAAAGGAGCCAAGTTACGGAAGGGCAGAACTGAGGAAGGTTGGTATGGGTTGTCATTCGAAGTCATTCAGTCTTTTGTCCGTTTTGAGTTTATGAACACCTTCATTGTTGTGGCGGGTCGGCGTCTACAGCAGGTGGTGGGCATTCCCATGGGCAAGTCGTCTAGCCCAGCCCTCACCTGCTTATTGTGTGCGTACAATGAGGCTACCTTTTTGAATAGTCTGGGTAGTGATAGGAAGCTCTTTCAAGGTTTTCGTCTGGTGGACGATGTGTCCGTCTTTGTATACTGCAGCAAAGGTGATTGGCAGTCGAGAAAAAACGGTGAAGGTTTGTTGGCAAAGTTTGCCAAGTGTTATGATTCTGAACAAGTTTTGGAACGGACGAGTAGTGGACTGTCATGGGATTATTTAGGTTGTATGTTGAGTATTGAGGATGTCAACGAGGGAATCATATGTATCCCGCTTATGAAGAACCAGAGGGAAGGGCTCAATGGCAAAATAATTTTTCAGAACGTGTAGGATTTTGTGTCTTACTCGAGCAAACAGCAGAAAATGGCTGTGGTAAGCTCGTTTCTACACCAAGCAAGAGCATATGCCTCAAAGAGCGGGACGAAATTGCCCTTTCTGATCACCTTGAAAAGCGAGTTGTGGAAAAGAGGGTATCCGGATAAGATATTTGATACTGCACTGGTGTCTTTTTCTAGGAAGTATGGTGGACTCTTGGATAACTGGCTGCCTATTCTGACTGATTGGGGGAGATTTGGGAAGCGTCTCAGGCTTGGTAGTTTTTTTGGTGGGTAGTATTAACTATTGTGGGGGGGTTTCGAGGGTTGAAGGAATCACTATCAGGAACTACTACTTGGTGAAGGGTCCAGGTTACCTTGAACTGTGAGTTGTGTGTATGAGAATCGGTCGGGCTGGACAGGTGGCTGGGATAGTCGGCTCGGCATTTCCGTGGATATACGCCTTTTGGTTGGACACTGTCTGGTTCTTAGGACTACCCGGTACGTATGTGGTCGGACTGTTACACTGGTGGTTTGTTCCTATGTGACGTGTGCCTCAGTGTTTTCTACGGCAAGTGGCGAAGATGCTGGGACTCGGCGCTTTCGAGGGTACGAATGAAGTCACATTACTGACTAAAGTAGTACCGACAGTTTTATTTTTTATTTTTCGATTTTTGTTGATCCTTTGGATGGTTTCATACAGGAAGCTGGTAACTATTAGGAGTACTAGGAATGAACGTGGTCGAACTGCGGTAACGGAAGTTGGGCGACGGCTATGATAGCCTGTTCGACAGTGCTCTTAGTTTTTTTACCTGTAGGAACAGTACTTAAGCTTTGCGCATCTCGATTGTTTCCAAAGACCCCTGATAAGTCTGACGTGGCGGTCAGACGAAACCGGTCAGGTCGTCGTCGAGGTGGATTTTCGGTCTACCATAGTTGTTGTGTTTCATCATATCTTTTTAATGCAGCCGGTCACGTTCGGGTTCGTTGCAAAGCTGGTCTGTTCTTGTCCTGTCGTGTCTCTCGGTCGTCGTGTCTCTTGGTCGTCGTGTCTCCTTGTCGTCTGTTCTGGTCTTGCCTATTGTGATCATAGTCATGGTGCTGTGTGTTTCGAGCGTGAACTTCCTGCCTTGACCATCCTGTGTCATCAGAGTATATCATACTATCTAATACGTCAGGATAAAATAAGTGGAAGGGAAGTACTGGCCGTCGACGACGGCGACAGTAATTACCGTTTTTGAGTGAGAACCAGTGGCAGGTGACATTTTCTTTTCTTTTCTTTTGCATCAACAAAAGGGCGGGACGTCGTGCATTGTCCAGGTGGGACCGATGGGACACGTGAGTGAGTCAGGCGGTCCTTTATTTTTTGTGAGAGCCAGGAGAGGTTGTTTTGACAAACGGCATCATCTGGAAGTGAGAAAGGAGGATGTGGGACTACCTGGGGCCACTTAACACTAGTGGGCATCGCCGCGAACCACTCGGTACCAGTTGGTACCAACGTGGACTATTTAGAATTATTTGGCACAGACGTCGGACCGCCTGGAGCTAAGTGGGACTCGTGGAACTTGCCGCCTTTGCGTCTGGGACTGCCACAAGAAATATTAGCGAGTCGGGTGCCGACAGGGACTAGTAACCTACGCAGTTTATACCTGAAGCAGCAGTTTCTTCGAAGAGGCGCGCCAGTTACTTAAGTTCTTGTACGAGGTCGCAGTCAGACTTTTCGCTATTCAAGGTCAGTGGTTGACACGGATCCCTGACACCTGTGTGCACCCTCACGCTGTATGATCCTTCTCTTTTTCTTTTGGGTGCTTTGAGAAAGGTTGAAAGGAAAGAAAGTGTGACGGGGCATGCTTGTGTCGGACTCTGGGTCTGACTTGGGCGATGCGTTCGTGGTTAAACTCGTTAAATGTTGATGTTGCTTTGCATTCAGGTGGATTAAAAGAGAAAAGTGATGAGAGGGGAACTCAAGTTTTTGTGATTGGAATTGTGAAAACGTTGAATGTTTCTTCTACCTTTTCTCTTTGACGTTTTCACATGTCTGACAAAGTAACAGTCAACCTATGAATGGGGGAAAGTAACCGGGGTCGAAAAAAGAATGCGGAACATAAAGAAAGGGGAATATGAATAAATTTAACTATCCCTAAGATTCCCTTTCTATCCCGAATGACCCTCTCGACCTATTTCCCTTGCGAACGAGTCTCGACTATAACTCCTTCCTCGTCTGCATTTCTAATTCGTCTAAGTTGTTCCTTCATGTAGACGTCCAAGGTAGTCGTTCTGATTCTGAGTTGAGGGCTCTCTCGCTCTAGGAGGAAATTCAGCGAGGGGGTTCGTTGCTTTAGGAGGCGGCTCTGTTATCGACCCGGAGTGGATAGTTTTAACGGGGGAGTGCTTTGCCGATTCGGTGGAGACGGTCCGACTTCTGAGATCTGAGTTATGACTCAGGCGATGAGGATGAACACTCCAGACCACTTACTAGAGAGTGAGACGGATGACGGTTAGGAATTTGAATCAACTTTTCGTTTGTACCTTTATACAGGGAAAATAGTAAAAACTAATATTATCTTATGTCGCCACCTTAGGTGTCACTAACGCATGGGGAACTTGTGTAAAAAAAAGTCTGGTTCATGAACCTACTAGTGTTTGAAGGAGTGGAAATAGACACTATTTTTCGTGGTTGGACGGTGGCATAAGAATAACGACTCAGAAAAGAGGGATAGGGGTAAAAAAGTTTGTGCAGATAAATTTATATTGACAAAGTTATTATTTATCATTCAGATATCTACCGGAGCGGTGATTATTCGGCTTTTTCAAACACGCGAGATGACGTTAAAC